GTTTTTATCCAATGAATACTTACAACCTGAGCAATTATGAAATTACTGCCATAACCATAAATGAAACGCTGCTTTGTTCTCTGTGAAAAAGAGCACGCAAGGCCAAGGAAATGTCGAAGCAGCAGCAGTACTGTTACTTAGTTGTGTGGTCTTGAAAGTCACTTTTCTGTACCTAGCTCAGCACTTATGCAACCTATAGTTAAGACTGAAACAGTGATGTTATCCTTGATGAGGCATTACTCTCTTTGAAAATTTAGATAAATTTTATCAACTATTTCTGTTCCCCCCTCCACCTCCAGTATTGGGAATTGAGCCCACGACCTCACGCTTGCCAGGCAGGCGCTGTGCCGCTGAGCTAAATCCCCAGCCACCTATCAATGCTTTCTTCTAACAACGTACATCCACAATTTTGCAAATAATTTCTAGGGATTCAGAACTCCTGGAATTTATCCACAAGTCGCCTCCTTTCCCCAACATTTGGCCTGCATGCTAGGTCTTCTGAGCTCTGATATTGGTTCCACCACTTTCTATTTCAGTAAAAATCACTTTGGGGTACATACATGGTGCCTGCACAGTGGCTTCCATTCCCTAGGTTACACTGACAACGCATCAAAAGGTAAAATCGTTTCTCTAAACGCAAACACGAATTAAAACGCCCCGAATTAAATACAGAAGACGCCCAGAACACCAGGGAAAAGGGCCTAAGCACGGAAGGATTTTATGACAGTTCAAACAGGGCATTTAAGTCTTGCCCGGGACGGATGCACTAACCCTACGGTGTTTACGAGAACTATTCGAGGTAATACCACTGCATTGAGACGCGGGACAGCAGCTGTGATTTGTAACGCATCCCTCCATCTCTGATCTTATGAAAATCTCGAACGTGAAAGCTGTTTGCTCTTTTTAATCCCCTAACGGAGTTAGATGACCAGGTGAAGCTGGGCGAAACGCAAGAAGACTTCCTTCTGGATCGCTCGCGACGGGCGCCCGCGTCCGCCCTCGGGCAGTCCGCCCTTTACAGCCCTCAGCTGAGCGGTCCTCCTCCCCTCCAGGACGAGCCCTGTCGCAGGCCGATCCGACCCTAGGGACGCCTCGTGCGCCACGTGGCAGGAAGGCTGCAGCGCAGGACGCGACCCGCCGGGGTCCCGAGTTCAGCCTCGCGCATCCGCGCCTATGGCTGCGGACCCGACAGTGACACCCGAACCCTAAATCCCCCTGCTTTCCCTGCAGCTCAACAAAAGCGCCTTTTACGCCTTCTTGCACAAAAAAGAAACTTAACCCTTAACCCCTTCTCCCAGTGCGCTAGACCCGGACTAGCCTCTCCCCTGCAGCAGAAGCCGCAGCCCAGCGGCACCGAGGCTGGTCCCGCCCCTTCCTTGAAGTTCCGGAAATGGGGGCCTCGCGCAGAGGATGTCCCGCCCCCCTCCCTTTAGGCCCGCCCAGCTCATGGCGTCCTAGAATTTGCCTGCTTATTCCTTTTTTTAAAATTTTATTTTATTTTATTTTTTTATTTATTGTAATGAGAAACTACTCTGCTGGTATCCTTTCTCATTCTCTGCCTGGAAAGTTTACGGCGCTGAAACTGTTTCCTTGTATACAGGCAACCCTGCGAGGTGACGTACAATTTGGGCGCCGGCACAGCAAGGACCCCTCCCTTCCCTTCGCTTGAGGTTCTGTCGCCCGGCCGGCGGGGAGGCGCGCGCGCTGCGAATGGAGCTGGTGGCTGGCAGCTACGAGCAGATCCTTTTTGGGTTCACTGTACACCCGGACCCTAAGGCGAGTGGCGACCACGAGGTAAGATGCGGCGAGCGGAGGGGTTGCCGGGGAGGGGCGGGACGAGGCCCATGCGGCCGAGGTAAACGCTCCGGCCGTGCTGTTTATTCCAGTCCGAGTCCCTGGGCTGCTTGGTGAACCGTTCTCCGGCTTTGCCCAAAGACCATTTAAACACGGATAGGCGTTCTGCAAAATGCCGCGTAATATCCGCCTACTGCAGTTAGCAGTTTTGGCATACCCGTCACCTAAGACATTTGTCGTGTCTGCGTGGAAACATTCAAAATTCTCTTTACTGGTTCACTTAAATTGTACAATTAATTGTCAGCCAGTTATCCTATGACGCCAGAAAACTCGGCGAGTCAGCCCTATCCACCTGCACACCTCTGCCCGTTAAGCATCCTCTCTGTCTTGTAGTCCCCACTATTGTGCTACTTTTGGGAAGTCAGCTTTTTTGGTTTTCCCGAAGGGCATTTGCTCTTAGCTAATTTATAAAATGAGAATAACTAGGAGTCGCGTGCCTGCAGTCCCAGCTGTCGGGAGGCTGAGGCAGGAGGGTCGCTGCGAGTTCGAGCCCAGCCTGTGCTACGTATTGAGTCCGGGGCACCCTGAACTACATAGCGAGACCCTGTTTAAAAGAAAAGAATAACTATATTTGCCTCACAGAGGATCGCTGTGAAAACTACTCTTTATGTGGAACATAGCAGTTTTACAATAAAATACGTTGAATAATAAAATCGCTTTGTAGGAGATACATACAGTACGTCTAATTGCTTCAGGAATAAAATAGTCCTGGTCTAGAAGTCAAGAGATCAGAAACCTCCTTATTGTCCTATCTACCACTTTGACAACTGTGTTAGCAGTGTACTTTTTTATTCTCCCATCGAGGAAAGTACTTACCATGTTCTGTAATTTATCTCCATGTTATGTGTCTCTCTCCTACAGCATTGCTTATCTTAGCAAAGTCTTTGCAGTCCGATCCACACTTCTGGGGACTTCTTACCCTCCCACCTACTCATGTTAAGTTCCCAGTAAATAATGTTAAGTTCCCAGTAAATAATGAATATATATCATTTGCTTTACCTAAGAGGAGTTGATGTTGATCAAAGCCATAACATTTTGTAAAATTCCAGGACAGAAATTTAGTGAAAGAGCAGGCTGATTTTTCATTAGATCCTGAATACCCACACTGGCTATCAACTTGTATCTGTAGTTCTTTTTTCCATGTGCAGAAATACCAGCTTCCTACATACTATGGGAGCATTTTGTGACTTTGTTTTTGACATGTAATAATGGTACATATTTATGGAATACACTATGTATTTACTTGTTTAATTTTTTTTGGTACCAGCAGTTGAACTCAGGACCTTACACTTGCGCCACTGAGCTATATATATCCCCAGTTCATACACTATGTATTTAAATAATTGTATACATTATATGATTGTCAGGGTAATTGATTCTCTAGGACTTATATTGGTTAATAATGGAAATATCCATATTGTGTTTTTCTTTATAGGACTTGTCATACTTACCTCTGTGTAACATCGTATTATTTTGTTTTATGTCTCTCCCATTGGTGCGGAAGCTCCATTAGAATAGGAGCTTCTTGTTCACTGATACATATCAGCTGCCTGAAGTGTTGCCAACCGCGTGGTTGAACTCATTATATGTCCCAGACTGGCCTCAAACTTGAAGCAGTCCTCCCACCTCAGCCTTCAGAGCACTGGGATGACAAGTGTGTGCCCAGTGGGTGGCACTTTAGTGTCCAGTCCTCTCTCTGTTCCTGGGTTCTGGAGTTAGGATTCCCAGCATTGATTTCCCACTTCCTTGCATTCATTAGTCACTTTTCGGGCTCTTTGCTTTGATCTGCGTATCACTGCATAGTGTGTTTTCCATTTGTAGGATCCAGTGGTAGTGTTTATGAATTGTAGACTGTGTTGCTAGACAGCTGTGACGTGACTGTGGTATTGATCATATGTTTTACCCGTCAGCAGAAATGGACTTCAGTGGCCGACTTCACTCACCACGCCCACACTGCCTCCTTGTCGGCAGTGGCTGTGAATAGTCGTTTTGTAGTCACTGGCAGCAAAGATGAAACAATTCATATATATGACATGAAAAAGAAGATAGAGCACGGGGCCCTGGTACATCACAACGGTAAGGACTGTGTCGTTAAGATAGTACTGGAGGTGTTATGACTTCAGTATTTGACTTAGTTGGACTTCTATCACAACGGTAAGGATTGTATCGTTAAGATAGTATTGGCAGTGTTATGACTTCAGTATTTGACTTAATTGGACTTTTTAGTATGTCTTATGTAGCATATTTTTTGTTAGATTTACACTGCTCACAGTCCTGTTGGGAGATAGGAAGTATCTTCTCTGTGTTTTAGTGTCACTCACCTCATAGCCTGGGCACTGTTAGCACGTAAGACCTTAGGTATACAGGACAGGTCCACAGCAGGCAGAGGTCACTGAAGTTGAGGTAATTCCCACCCATGGTTGCGTTCTCCACAGTGATGGTGAAGTTGCCTGGCTGGATTAAGGGGTAGAAAAACTATAGGTAATTTTTTCCCCCTCAGGACTGAAATTTTCATGCTGTTTTCTTTGCATTTCCTAGGGGACAGAGATGAGGGGTTTAATACATGTTCAAGGAGGAAAAGGAAAGGGAGAGGTCACAACAGGATTAAGCTGGATGTGGCGGCACATGCCTGTAATCCCAGCACTCTGGGAACCTGACTTGGGGTGTGTGTCTCAGTGTGAATATCCTGGGTCAATCCTCAGTACCGCCAAATACATAAATAAGTTATATGCTTAGTTTGAGGAATGCAGCCCAAAAGGTTGGCTTCCCACAAAGACAGACAGATAAGACAGGTTCCCTTTTCCTATTCTTTTGTATCTTTCAAAGGTTCTATAGCAAGCATTTGTTTCTAGCCCTAAATTTAGAGTGATAAATGTTTGTTTCTGTTACATGGTCCTTAGATACTTCAGCAGGTGTCTTGCTGTTTAACAGAAACTGGGCTTTGAGTGATTTCAACATGACATTCCTTTTCCCCTCTTTTCTCTCTATCCTAGTTCATGCAAGGAGGGCTTCTTTGTCCCTTAGGCACGGCAGAAATAAGTAACACAAATGCAATATGTAACCCACTAACATTCAACAGTGAGAGAAGAACCTAGACATCAGGTGAGGGATGAGTGAAGTACGCCTCTTGGCTTCCTCCAGGCTTTGTATAAACCCTGGTTTTGTAGCAGTTGGGAATAGATGTGTTCTTCTGCAAGAAACAGAGGATAGACTCTGGGACGGGAAGCAGAAGGTGCAGGAAGGCAGAATTTCCGAAGTCAGAAATAGGATGTCAGGAAAGAGGAAGACATGGACAGAGACGGGTAGTGGCTTCTGCCTTAAGAAGGCGATACACAAACCCACGTACCTCTTAGCACTTTTGTTGCTTGCAAAATTATTAAAGAGCTTTGGCTTTTTCAATAAAAAGTATAGTGCAAAGAACTGTGTCTTAGTTACTTTTCTCGTTGCTGAGACAAAAGACCTGACGCCCAGAGTTAAAGGGGGAAAGGTTTATTTAGCTCACAGTTTGTAGAGGTTTCAGTTCATAATCAGCTGGTTCCAAGGCAGGGTGGCTTGGCAGAGGGGCAGCAGTTTGTGGTGGTTGAAGATAGCAAGAGCGACAAGAGGGGCAGAAAGACTCTTTTTGTCCCCTATATTGTATGCAGGCTACTTGCCCTAGGGCAGATATAGCACTCACGCCCTTAATGCTAGCCAGAATTACGCCAAAGCAATCGGTGGACTGATTTACTAGTCACACAGCTTTTCCCAGCATCACACACTGTAGATCCAGCCACCTCTTAAAAAGCCCTATGACCACATGAGGCTTTGGGGAGACATCTAGACACAAACCGTAACTGACTGGGAGGTGCACAGGGAGAGAATATTGACCCGGGGTTTCACTTGTGTCCTGTAGAGGACCATGCAGTAAATAGGCTTTCTAGACTGTGTGGCCTGTGTTCCAGTTGCTCAGCTCTGTCGTTGTTGTGTAAAAGTAGCTTTGTGTACTTTAACTGAATGAACTGTGGCGTTTTCCAGTAAAATTGTGTTTGAGGAAACACCGCCAGCCGGAGTGGGGCCGGTAGGCAGTGGGTGGTGGACCCCTGAGCTGTGCACAGGTGCACGGAGTCACACAGACTAAAAGGAACGGGCAGCTTTCCTGGCGGGTAAGAGTGTTACATGGGGACTGCCTTGGGGCTAGAGGAATGTGATACTTTTCCGGCACCTCACTCCCATCTTTTCATATTTGATGCACGTGGGGATTGCGGGGAGATCCATGTGTCAGTTTAACTGTCCTAGGAAATTCTCAGGACAGTGAAAGAGGAGTGAGTAGAAGGCCAATCCCAGCAGCTGCGAGCAGACAGCATCTGGATTTGCGCACCCAGTGAACTGGGGAGCAGTGCGTTTTGTTTGACTCCAGCTCTAATATCGGAGTCTCACTGGTGACAGAGACAAGAGAACAAGCTGATGAGCTTCCATCTGTGTCTCTGCGGCTGAGCTGCATCGCGAGCCCAGTGCTTTACTCGCTGTAGCACCGGCTTCCGAGCGGAAGTGGAGCTGCGCTCCGAGCGAGTGTAATTTGCCTCTCCTGGTCTTTTCCCAGGCACGATAACTTGCCTGAAGTTCTACGGCAACAGGCACTTGGTCAGCGGAGCCGAGGACGGGCTCATCTGTGTCTGGGATGCGAAGAAGTGGGAGTGCTTAAAGTCCATGAAAGCTCACAAGTGAGTCGGATCTTCCCACAGCATTCTCCCCGCCGCCAAGTTGGGAGCTAACTGTTGATTTCGTTTTAGAGGACGTGTGACCTTCCTCTCCATTCACCCGTCTGGCAAGTTGGCCCTGTCTGTCGGCACAGATAAGACACTGAGGTAGGTCATTCATGCCCGAAAGCGTGTTTGCCGGGTTGTGTGTCTGCCATGATGATTAGATACTGCCTGTGTTGTTCCACAGTTTTCAACCATTTAAAGACAGTGATACCGGGGAAGGGTAGAAAGACAGCTAATGACCCGTGTCATAATGGTAGTGTGAGAAAGGACCTGCATTCGAACAGGCACTAACGTTCCTGTTGTCCTAAAGTGTGAACCAAGGAGGAGGGTAGTCTAAGATGAAATGGTTGAGGAGATGAAACCTTTTGAAAGTGCAGTAGGCAGAACATGTTAAATGTGTGTGGGAACACAGTGGACTTTACCCCTGGAATGTCGGCACTCTGGGAGACCGAGGAAGGCGGGTTGTAGGTTCAAATCTAGCCTGGGCAGGCTTTTGAGATCCTGTCTCAAAATATAAAAAAGCAGTGGACTGGGGATGTAGCTTAGTGCAAAGGCCTGGGAATCGATCCCCAGAACTGGGAAGAAGGGGAAAAAATCAATACATTGCTGTAATGAAAATGGCAGGTTCTTAGTAGCCAGCTTTGGTAAAATTGTCATTCATTTTGCTTATGCTTTGCCACTTAGTACGTCAGTTGATGATCATCCCAAAAGCAAGCTTCTTGTTTTACAGAACATGGAATCTTGTGGAGGGAAGATCAGCTTTCATCAAAAATATAAAACAAAGTGAGTATTTTTGTCCAGTAAACTAATGGAACACAAATGTTCACAAACATTCTTATGCGTATGTGTACACAAGTTTATTTTCTATATGCCGGTACTGTTTCCTGTGAAAGCCATGTTTCTAGTGACTTTCTTTTCCCATTTTCTGAGTCAGTTCCTCTTGTGGCTCTGCACGAGCCAGTGCTGATTTTCAATCATTGTTTTTGTGTTGGCGCCAGTAACCGAACTCAGGACCTTGCACTTGCCAGGCAGGCGCTGTGCCGCTGAGCTAGATCCCCAGCCCAATCGTTGAGTTAACTTGCAAATATATAACATAAATTTGTCATGAAGATCAAATAGAAAAATAGATATGAAAATGCAGTGTAAATATTGGCTATTTTTATTACTGTGATCATTTTGTTTCTCTGTTTATAAAGTAAATCTTGCTTTTATAACTTGCAGATGCTCACATAGTGGAATGGTCCCCGAGTGGGGAGAAATACGTGGTTGTCGTCCTAAATAAGATCGATGTCTACCAACTTCACACTGCGGCCATTAGCGGCACCATCACCAATGAAAAGCGGGTTTCTTCGGTCACCTTTCTTTCAGTAAGTAGTCAAAGTGAGTTGAGGGCCAGCCTGAACTGCATAGTGAGACCCTATCTCAAAAAGACAAAAAAAAAAAAAAATGAGTGGTGGGCCTTTGTAAAGGTCATCAGGACTGCCGACGCCGTCCTGGGCATCTTTCCTGTTCTTGCTCCTAGGACTCTGTCCTCGCAGTGGCTGGAGACGAAGAAGTGGTGAGGTTTTTTGACTGTGAATCGCTGGTGTGCCTCTGTGAGTTTAAAGCGCATGAGAACAGGTATTTTTACCAATTTTCTGTGTGTGTGTAAAGAATTAATGTTATGCATGTACAGGCGACAGTTTCAGAGAGCAGAGGGTTCTTATAACAACTGCAGAGACCATTAGAATGTGGATAAAGAATGTTCCTGGACTTTGCAATGCAGAAGTGATGGTGTGATCAAGACTGATCATTTGGATTTTTCACATAAACCTGTTAGAGTTGGAGCTTGAAATTAGGCGTATTTGAATAATAAAAAAACAACAACAGGGCCGCATGTATATAGCTCAATGGTAGAGCATCTGCCTAGCAGGCGGGAGGCTCTGAGTATCACCCCCAGTATCACACAAGCAGAGGTTCTCAACCATCCTGCTTTCTTTTAACCCCTCTTTCTTCCCCGTGTCCACGTCTTCCTTCCCATGCCTTCTTTCCCTCTGCAGGAAGAGTGAAGTAACATCAATTCCAATCTGAATGCTTTTTGTAGCCTAGAGAGTAGATACGGAGTCTCAGAGAAAGTTGTTCAGGATTGCTGTGCTCCCAAGTGACCGAGCTGGGCCAAACCAGCTCCTCAGATTTCAGTCTCTGCTTTCTCCACTGTGGTTTTTAAAAACATGTTAACATGCAGAGTTAAGCTTCACTGTGGTTCAGTCTGCATGTTTTTGTTCTTCTTTGTCTCAAATATTACTTCCCAAAGAACTTTTTCTGCAATGCCTGGGATTGAACCCCGGGCATTCGCACCCTCAGGGCCAGTCTTCATCCTCATCCCCATCACTCCTCCGCAGCTGTGCTATTTTAAAGCAGATTCCCGGTTTTGTGGGGTTTTAAGCCTGAAAGTAACATGATTTGGCTTCATTGAAAAACTGTTAGGGAGCAAAATGGGAAGCAGAAAGGCCAGTTGGGCGACACCGTAACCCAGAGAGAAAAGGCGCGTGACAGCAGCGGTGCCCCAGAGGTGAGGAAGGCGGCTGCTGGGAAGGGGCTCCGTTCTCTCATGTTCTTTCCTCGCAGAACTGAGAATGCTTGAGGCTGGAGACTGTTTCAGTCATACTGACTCTTTGCGATCACCCCGTTAGGCGTAGGTGCCTTCAGATTTTCCTCACGACACGGTGACGGTCAGTGTTACTGTGTTTTGGCCTGCAGATGACTCACCAACTAGCGGGTGTAGGAAAGCATAGTTACATTTGAAGACACCATTGAGCAGTTGGGGAATGTTTAAAGCACTGGAAAAGCAAGTGTGCCTAGAGAGGGCTGGGGAGATAGCTCAGCGGCACAGTGCCTGCCTGGCGGGCACAAGGTTCTGAGTTTGATTTCTGGTCCCAAAAAAAAAAGTGAGCATAGAGGTTTTAGTTTTTGCTTTATACATACTTTTGTGATGGTACCACGTGGCCTGGAACTGACGATCTTTTGTGGCGTTCATGTTTCTATCGTAGGGTGAAAGATATGTTCAGTTTTGAAATCCCAGAGCATCACGTTCTTGTCACAGCATCGAGTGATGGTTTCATCAAAATGTGGAAGCTTAAGCCCGAGAAGGTCAGTGCCTCAGTGTAGGATGAGTACACTGTCACCCAACTTCTGCTGCCAGCATCTTTTCGTTAAGTGAAGCCGAGTACCTTGTTGTAAGACATCGATCTTTAATTTTTAAAAAATTTCTAGGCATGATTGATTGTCATGGTTTTAAAATCAGGATCCCCATAGAGCTGCCCGTGGGTTGGCATTTGTGAGTCTGAGCGGAGAGCAATCCGCCGTCTACTCTTCCGGTCAGAAAAGTTTACTTGCTCTCTGAGGTGCGAGGGTTCTCCACAAGATATTAGGTAGAAACAGCACCATTGCCGCACCGGATCAGTAACGTCCAGGTTGACTGTGGAACTAACGTTAGTTCTCCGAAGTCTCTTTATAGTCCAGTTTATTAATCCCTCGTCTCACACACATTCTATGAATATGGTTTGTTGGATACTACTTTATACAAGCTTCTTCGGCTTTTTAGGCCCTAGAAATGAATGAGAAATACTCCATAGCCTTTGAATTGATCATTTCTGGTTACACCTCATATTGACCTCAGAACACTCATCAACCCAGTCATAAACCAGGAGAGTAGACTACTTCTAGACGTGTGTCTCATGTTCAGGGAAATACAGAGGAGCGTCGCCTGCTCTGAGGTCACATTCTGAGGGCTGTGTCGAGGCAGTTTCATTGCTGAGAACACGGTAGAAGCGCTCACACCCTGGTGCAGCGTGTGGCTGTGGGTGTGGGCCGTGCATCTGCCTCTGTCATTGCCTGAAACGCTGCTCTGCGGTGCACGGCTATAATAAATTTCAATTCATGGTAACTTGGTTATGGAAAAAGAAAAGTGCCCCGAATTCTCTTGTTACCTACACTGTATTTTTCCCCTCTTCTTTTAGAGTGTTCCGCCATCTTTACTCTGTGGAGTGAACACTAAGGCCAGGCTGACGTGTCTCGGAGTGTGGTTAGACAGAGAGGCAGACGCGAGAGAGAGCCTGCGTCCCACAGCAGAGCCTTCCCCTGGTAAATGAAGTTGGGCAGTTTTTAAAAGTTGATCGCTCTTGACCTCTTGAATTGTTGAAGTGGAAGCTGTCCAGATAGCTTCATTTTGTTGTCAGCCTCTGTGTATTTTACTCAAAGAGGGGGCAGCAGTCTTTACAGGCACTGTCTGTTGTGTTTCAGTAAGTAAAGAAGAGCGGTCCAGGATGAGCGAAAAGGACCCTGACGTGCAGGAGGTGGCAGCGTCATTACCCAGGTTGCAGAAGTGTGGCTTAGCTGGTGACAGTGAGAAGCCAGCAAGAGGGAGCAGCCTCGTGTCAGGCAAGAGGAAGAAGGTGGAAATGTTGGAAAAGAGGAAGAGAAAAAAGAAGAAAATATAACACACAGTGAATCCCAGATTTCTCCTCCTCCAAAGAATTTTTAGACAGAATTGTCATTTTCAAGTATTATATCTACATTTTTTTTTTTCCTGAGCAAAAGCAAGGAATTTTTTCTACTGGAGAAAATGTATAGCTTTTAAAGAAACCACTTTGAGGTGGGTTTTTGTTTTTAACTGATAAAATTATTTTTGACAGATGAAATGAAGTATATATCATGGGTTTGGGTTGGTCATGCACACCTGTAATCTCGGCACTCTGGCCCGCAGGAGGATTGAAAGTTTGAGACCAGCCTGGGCAACTTAATGACTTAGGGGGAACTTGTGTCAAAAAATAATAATAATAATACAAAGGGTTAGGGATAGTGGCTCAGTGTGAAGACCTTGGTACTTTTAAGTACCAATACTGCCTCCCCCAAAGACTCATAATAGTTTATAATATGTATAAACATAGTTTATAAACATAGTTTATAATTATGTATAATTTTTTGTTGTGCAAAGCAAAGAAAGGTCTTTCTCATTTATCCATGTAATTTAAAATAATGTAAAGTCTTGAAACTTTTTTGGTGTGATGCTGGGGATGGAACTCAGGGCCTTTCATCTGTTAGGTAAGTGGTCTTCTCCCGATCTACCCCTCAGTCCTGTCACCACTTTTTAACCAGAGGCAGACTGCTTTCACTCAGTGTCTCGGTTACTTTTCTCTCGCTGCTGAGACAAAGTACGCAATGCCCAAAATTCAGGAGGGAAAGGTTTATGTAGCTCACAGTCTGTGGAGGTTTCAGTCCATAATCAGCGGGCTCCAAGGCTGCGTGGCGTGGCACAGGGGCAACAGCTGAAGGCGGCAGAAGACAGCAGAAGCAACAGGAGCACGAAAGAGAGCAGGCCTCTTTTCCTGTCTTGTAAGCAGGCCCCCCACCTAGGGCGCCCTCTTGCACAGGATGAGGGTGTCTACAAGGTGAGGCCCCGGCCCCCTGCTGAGTCACTTTATTATAAACGTCTCAAGTTTGACAGTGTATCAGCCATTACAGCCAGGACAGTAGAGGCATATGCCATTATTTTTTATCCCTTTCATAAGAACATTAAGGTCTTAAATTTGGCCTGTGACTATTATCTTGTCATCTATTACCTAGAAAATGTAAGCGTTTTTCTTAGGTTACTAGATGTTTTGAAAAACAATAATACCAGATCTCTCCATTTGAATTAGCTGGGGAGATCAGATACCTAGGATGCGTGGAGAATGGCTTTTGGTAAGACAGGTGTCAGCACCTGGGCCCTGGGGTTGGCATGTGTAAGGAAGCACCTAGACATGAACCCACGGCTGTGCCAGGCATTTCCGACTACCCCTTCACCAACTGACCAGGCCTCTAAACACAGCTAAAAAGTGGTTATTTCTCTAAGTCCAGCTCTTTATTTTGAGGTATAGATTGGCATACAGGAATGCGATGTCCCCAGATACAGTGTCACAACCCAGATGGAGAAAATGAGAGCAGGAAGACAGAACATTTCTTTCCTCCACAAGGATCACCTAGGGGTGCAACTGCGGGGTCATGGGGTGTTGTGTGTTCAGTTCTTCAAAAAGAAACGGGAGTTTTTAGGGGCTGGGGATTTAGCTCAGCGGCAAAAGCGCCTGCCTGGCAAGCGCAAGGTCATGAGTTCGGTTCCCGGTACCAGAAAAAAAAAGAAAAAAAGAAACGAGAGTTTTCCAGGGTAGCTATGTGATTTTACATTTCTCCCAGTAATGTCTGAGCGACCCGCTTTTTCAGCATTCTTTCTGGTATTCTGTGTTGCTCTTGGGCACCCTGCATTCCGGAGCGATTTGCAGGAAGGCTGGGCCGTGGAGGGCCGTGCTATGTGGGTAACTTGGGGTTTAGGTAACGTGGCTCCTCCATGAGGCCTGTGCTGTCCTACGGCTTCTGCTTACTGTGGTTTTTTCCACTGGCTTCTCCCTGTGGGGTTCAGATCAGCTTAGTAGCTGCAGCTCCAGCGTGAGCCCTTCTGCCCAGCGGCTCCTGGGGGAGCGTGGCCGGTGGTGAACCCGCAGCCTCTGCATCTCCCCCATGACAGCAGCTCAAGTCAGACTGCACCGTTCCCGCTGGGCATCGGTGGTCTGCACAGTGTGCAGCCACTCACGCGTCAGTTCCGCTGCTCCCGGACACTGGGCACGTCCCCTGTGCCCCCTCCACCTCCGCCCTCCGTTGTTCACCCAGCACCTCACGTCGAGTGTCTCCCACATTTGCCAGGCACCGTCCTGGCCCCCGGGGGCTGATAAAAAGCACGCTGCCCAGCCAAGGACAAAACCGGTGAAGTGTGTTCATTCAGTGCGGCAGCCCGGGTGACCAGGGCAGCTGGACTGCCACTCCTGTGGGAGGTGAGATCGGGTTTTCAGATGAGGGGAGCGGTGATTCTGGGAGACGGCGCAGTGCTTTCTTAGTTACGAGGACGGCGGCAAGAAGCAAAGGCGACTCCGACTACCCCAGAGTTCAGCGGACTAGTGGGTGCGTTTACGAGCAAGGCCAGGGCAGCAAGGGGGAGTGTCTGAGTCGGTCTCTGGCCTCCAGCCGGTGAGGCACCAGGCGGCACAGCAGGAGGTGAGCAGCGCGGGAAGCTTCTTAGTTACGGCCGCTCTGCCCCCCAATAGCCAGCATTTCCAGCCTGAGCTCTGCTGCAGAGGGAGGCAGATTCCCCCAAGAGCACGAACCCTTTGAACCGTAGGTCGAGCCTTCCTCTGAAGGATCCCTGGAAAACTGCCACACAGCCAGTTCATGGTGCCTAAGAGGCTGGGGATCACTGTCCTAGAGCAAGTTACAAGCCAGGGCAGAGAGGAAGACAAGGTCATTTTAATTCACAGCTTCAAATAACAAAAAACCCCAAAATGCACCACGTTCTTTTCCTGAGGGCTGACCATTATTCTGGGAGGCCACACGGCTTTGTGTGCTAGAGCTTTGTGTACTGGCCAACACGGCAGCAAAACCCTTTTGTGGACTAAACTCCCACCCCAAGACTTTCCCAGCCTTGCTCTGTCTTACTCCTTATCATCTGTAATAAAAAGTATTTACATTTTAAAAATATATTACAATAAAAGACATCACCAGGAACCTCCCTCACAGTACCCCGCCCCCACTGAACACATCCCGTCATCCTTGCCACTTTCGGCAGCATTTCCGGAAATCCTCTTCCATGTCTTTGATTGCTCTGTCGTAATTGCTGAGGTGTCCTGATACCATTCAAAACATTTCCTTTCTGTGCTCATTGGCTTTGAGGAAGAGCCAGCAGTCGCACGGTGCCAGATGCAGTGAACGAGGCGGATGAGGGCTCCCCGAAGTGTTTTCACAACCTACCTGGCCACTGGGGGGCGCTTGGCCGCAGCCTTCTGCTGTATTTGCATTCTGCTGTAATTGCACCTTGTGAAGACTCAGGAGAGAGCTTCCAGAACTGCTTCAGAAAGTGGCACGGAGGATGGGCTGAGTGAAGTGAGCGGGAGGGTTTTGAGGGAATTCATGACAGTCTGTCTTCGACTGTCAAAATTTTCCTGTAAACATTTCGCTAAGTTTTGCTCACGTGGCATAGCCAAAAGGGGCTCAATGTAAATGACTTGTTTCCTCAAAATGTCACTATAAAACCTGACCCCCTTGGGCCGGGGCACATTCTTCCCCGCCCTCTGGCCACGGTGCCCGTGGGTCAGGGAACTTGTCCCAGCACTGGTCCTCTCACCCTCTCGCTCCTTGCATTCAGCTCTTTATTTTCAGGAGCTGCTTAGTCTCAAGTTTAACAGCAGGAAGTGGGAGGGGCCGGGTGTACCCCAAGCAGCTGCTCCCTCTGCAGCTTGTCTTGCTTCTCTGTACTGACCTTCCCTCAGTCCTCTCTGCGTCTGCTGATCCACTCAGGACATGTTTTTTTGAGATTGTAGGGGGGCGTTGGTTTTGTGTTTGGTCTTTTTGAGACAGGGTCTCGCTCTGCAGTTCAGGCTGGCCTTGAGCTCACTTTGTAGCCCAGGCTGGCCTCTAACTCACAACGATCCTCCTGCCTCAGCCTGAGTGCTGTGGTTACAGGTGTGCACCACCACGCCTGGCTCTTGCTTTGTTTTTTGAGGTGGTGGGGATTGAATCTGAAGCTTTGTGTGTGATAAACAAGCGCTCTACCATTGACCTACATGCCCAACCCTTAGGTTGCAGTTTCCAGTGAGATCGCAGAAGGCTTCTGCTGAGGAGGCTTCTGCTGAGGTGTCGGGTGCTGCAGGCTTACAGGAGGTGAGGGAGTGAGTGGGGGAGAGGGTTCCAGAGGGAGGAGGAAGCATAAACAAAGGGAAGGGAGAAGGTGCTGAGGCTGGCGAGGTCCACGTGCAGGGCTTTGCAAGCCAAGGCCTGGGGTAAGGACGCCACCAAAGGCTTTTGGGCACCAGAAAGAACTGGATTTGAAATGGGGCCGGGGATATAGCTCAGCGAACTAGAGTGCCGAACAGGAAACAAGCCTGGTCCTTTCTGCTGGGGTTGGTGTAGAGATGGAACGAGTTACTCGGCATAAAGCTCTGCAGTGCCCGGCATACAGGGACACGGGCATACAGGAACACGGTGTATGCCTTTGCTAACACTGCCTCAGGACCTGACATAGGAGATCGAGAAGCTCATGGCAGATAGGGTAGGTCGACAAAATAGGTGAATTTCTTCATAATCTTATTTACTCATTTCTTGGAGAAGGATTTATAGAATGGATGATTTTGGTTTTTAAACAAAGCTATAAACTACTAAAGAAGTTGAAGTTGCTAATTGTTGCTTTGATACATGTGAGAGCGTGCTTCAGTGATAAGGTTAAAACCAAATCAAGGGCACAACTCTGCAGGCGAAAACTCTAATTGAGACAGAAGAGAAAATAAGGAGCTGGGTGTGCTGGCCCATGTCTCTAATCTCAGCACTCCGGAGGCTGAGGCAGGAGGATCACAATGAGTTTGAGACCAGCCTGAACTACATTAATTAAGACACAGTTTCAGGCTTAGGTTTTGGGTTTTTCTTTTTGTTTGTTTGTTTGTTTGTTTGTACCAGAAATCAAACTCAGGACTTTCTGCTTGCCCGGCAGGCGCTTATGCCACTGAGCTATATTCCCGGCCCCAAAACCCAATTTCAGAGAAAGAGAAAAAGAAACACAGACAGGAAAAAAAATAAAGGGGTTTTGGTTTTGAAGTCTGGTGGCAAGGATCAGACAGACCAGTTAACCAAAGATGAGGACTGGCTTTTATGGCTTCCCTGGGGTAGACCAGGTGATGGCACTTGCCCTTGGGTCCTGAGTGTGGCCTCCTCTTTAGGGGACAGATGTCATCATATGACAGTTCCTTAAGGCAAACATTACAATGACAGTACATGCATATTATACACCACAAGGGGGCACTTGTAAGATTTCCATGTTAAAATCAGCCAGGTCCCAGCCGCCCTCACACACCAAAGCTGGTCTCTGACCTTTTGTGAACAGGCCAGGCTGATCCACGTCTTCAAATTTGTGCCTGCTGCAGTTCCTCAAAACGAAGCTTTTTTCTTATTCTTTCTTTTCTTTGTTAGAAGACCAGCCTTATTATTACTTTTTTAATATTTCTTTTCTGGCACTGGGGATTGAAACTAGGGTGTTCACACTGAGTTACATATCCAATCGCAGACCTTTTTATATTTTATTGTGACATAGGGTCATGCCACATTGCCCAGGCTGGGCTCAAACCTGTAATGCTCCTGCCTCAGCCTCCCAGCATACTGGGATTACAGATGTGTACCACCACTGCTGGTTCTGGCTTGATCTTTGTCAGAGTTGTACCCCACGCTACTTCTTAGTTTTGTTGGTTCCATTTTAATTTGTATTAGCATTTTATGTTTGCAGTACATAATGATTATATTCACCAGGCGCAGCTGGTACAGGTACCTAACACATCTGAATTCTTTTTATATCCGATTCCCTTTCCTTTCTCCGCCCTCTATCTCTTGGTTCTTACTTTTCTTGCATACTTTTTCTCTCCCTCCCCCTTTTTATGTGAGACAGGGTCTCACTATGTAATTCAGGCTGGCCTTGAACTCATGGCAATCCTCCTGCCTCAGCACCTTGAGTGCTGGCTTTCAGTTTTTGAATGAGTGGTTTCTTTTTCTTTCTCTTTTTTGGTACCGGGAATCCAACTCATGACCTCAGGCTTGCCAGGCAAGCGCTTATGCCGCTGAGCTATATCCCTGGCCCTTAGTTTTCACTTAAAGCTTTTTCCTGTAAATTTGAACCGAATGCCTGTTTTATGTTATCAGTGAAGCAAGGATCTGTGCTAGTTGGTGACATAATTTAATTTTCTTTTTTTTTTTGTTTGAGACAGGCTCTTTTGTTAATGTAGCACATCTAAGCGAGCCCTAGGGTCTCCCGTGCCACCTTACTCCCTGCAAATCCAGGGTCGGCACACAACGGGGGGGGGCGGGGCGGGCTGGGGCCACCCTCCCTCCACGGCCCGCAGCTGGCTCCCGCCTGGAACACTGCATCCGTCTGTATCATGGTGCAGCCTTCGAATGCAGCCGCAGGCGCTTCCTCCCGCCTGCATCTCCAACCCTGCCCAGCTTCTCCAGCTTCGAGCAACACTGGCGTCAAACTCTGGGTTTCCGGCTTTCCGTCACTCGAGTTTGGCTCGGAGACTAGCTCGATCCGCACGGCGCGCACCCCACCTGGTCCGTAACTTTTAGCTCCAAACCCTGCCCCAAGGGGGCTCTACGCCTCGAGGACACGGAGCATGCGCCGGAAGGTCCCGGCCCCGCCTCTGCCGCCCCGCCCCGTAGGTGCTGGGCCTATCCGCGAGTCGTCGCTCGAGGCTCCGCCCCAAGCCCCGCCCATTCCCGGGCCCCTGGGAGCGCAGGGCTCCGGCTCGAAGCTCCGCCCGGGACGCAGAGCGCGCGCGGTCCCGGTGCAGACCTCCGTCCGGACCTGGGTTGGGACCTCGGTGACCGCCGTGCGCAGACCTCCGCGAGCGCGCCTCCGGACCGTGGGGTTCGTTAGTTGATAGCGATTTGGGCTTGTAGGAGTTATGGGAACGGTTTCCGCGCTGCCTGCTTTTCGTCTCCCGCTCCGCGCAAGAAGGGCTGTAGGCCGCGTCGAGCTGCGTGCTTTTCGGGTCGCGCTTTCTCCTTAGGAGTCGGGAATCGCGCGAACCCCGAGCTCTGGCAAGTGCTGAGCGATGTAGTCCAACGCTGGTTCGGTTCCCGGAGATTTTCGGGCTCCGATTCTTTGAAAATCTCGCGTTTGGTGCTGGGCCGGTGGAATTCACGACCCTAAGGCCTCCGCCCCTGACCTCCTAGGGAAACCGAAAACGGGTGGGCGCTGCGCGGCCGGGCCAGGCGTGCTGGACGCGGAACCCCGTTCCTCCCGAGGAGGGGAGATCCTTTTCTAAGGGTGCAGCGTCCCGTGGGGTCATGACTCGGGTTCCGTATATTTTATGCTGCCTACCCGCAGTCCAACAAGAGCTGCGAATCGGATGCAAGTTGGTAAAGTTCTGCAGACGTTGAGTACGGAAGGAGTCTCATGCTGGGGGCAGAAATGAAAAGCACCCCTTCTCCCTCCCGCCTTCCCAAGAGACCGTAAAGATCACTGGGTTAGAGGCGCAGAGGCTTTGCTTTCTGATGTAGTGACGACCTGGTTAAAAGGTTAACTCGGTGCCAGTCCGGCGGCGACCAGTGGATCTTAGTTGCTGTGGGCCTCTGTTAGGACTCTTGTTAGCAAAACAGGCTGGGTATCTGCACGTTCACTTACTACTCCATCGAATGCTCGAAGCAGCCCCAGGAGATTGTACCTTTCTTAATATCATTATACTGTGGAGGAACCTGAGTCCGTTTCTCTCACCGCGGGCTGGAGCTGGGGTTGCGTGGGCTGGAGAGCTGAGCTAGTTAGTAATGGTGGCCTCTGATCGGTCCCCTGTGCAGGTGCAGGTCTGGTGTGGTCTTCTGCCTGGACACAGAGAGCAATGCAGAAGTCCAGCCCACTGTAAGTATAGTAAATGGCACAGAACAGTCCGGAGCTCAAAAACCAGAGTTCCCGCCTCCTTGTGAAAAGAGCCCTGAGTATGGGCTCCCTGGGCACAGCATGGGGTGTGGGAGGATGGCTGGACAGGTTGGCCAGAGACCTGGATGTGAGTCCCTGCTCACTCACGTGGGCGATCTGGCAAAATCCAACCTCTCTGGGCTTCATTTTTGAAGTCCATCCAGTGATCACATGGCTTGCTTTTAAAACATCCTAGCACCGATTTCTCCCTCTTGCCTTACAGAGTGCCTTTACATTATTTTGGCTTTGGCTATGCAGCCCTGGTTGCTACCGGTGGGATCATTGGCTATGCAAAAGCAGGTAAGGGTTTTTATGTAGCCACCTGGCCTCTTAAAAATGCTTGGATACAGCCAGGCTGGACGGTGCCCGCCTATATTTGCAGCACTCTGCCAGAGGGAGGCTGGGCGGGTGCAAGTTAGAGCTCAGCCTGAGAAACTTAGCAACTTAGCAAGACCCTGTCTGGAAATAAAAGAGGTGAGGATGTCGCTCAGTGTCAAAGCCGGGGTCCGAGCCCCAGGAACACATACACACACACTCAGGCACAAGAATAAGACTTTAGAAATCTGTAATTGTTTCTGTGACGGTGATGAGGGAATAGCAGGGTCCCCTGAAGAGTGCCCTGGCTTGAGTCAGGTTTGCCTGCAGTGAGTCTCCTGGCTCCTCCTGGCCCTGCCTGCCTTCTGGTTATCTGGCTGAGCCGAGCCAGGCTGCCTGGTTTTGCCTCTCTGTCTGCACATAGGCAGGTGTGGCAGTAGATTATTATTATCAGCCGCCATCCGTCAGGTTCCACCCGCAAGATACCAACTCTGAGTTTTTGAAGGAGGAAGAAACCTCCAGTTGTTTTTTTTTCTTTTCTTTTTTGAGTTTGTGCTAGGCTGCCGGACGTGGTGGTGCACACGCCTGTAATCCTGGCACTCGGGAGACTGAGGCAGGAGGATCATTCCAAATTTCAGGCCAGCCTGGGCTACAAAGTGAGCTTAAGACCTGTCTGAAATGCATAGCGAGACCCTATCTCAAAAAGACAAAAATTAAAATTAAAATTAAAAAAACCCATAAATTTGTGCTGGGGCTGGAACCCAGGGCCCTATGTATTCTAGGCATTTTATTTCTAATATGAAAGCCCCTTGGTTAAGCCAGGTAGGAGGGTGTGGATAAATGTGCTTGTTTCTGCCCCCTTCCCTGCCTGCACCCCCACCTCAGGGCACACTCCCCAGCGTTCTTACTGTGCCGATCTTTCTTTCTGCTGACCCTGTTTCCCTCTCCTTTTGTGAATTGCCTGGCGTCCGGTGCACACTTCCAGCCCTTGATGGGTTGATCCAGACTTGGTAAGGAAAAGCCCTGACCACAGTTCCAGGGAAGATCTCCTTTTCTTAAAGTGGAAGTGCCCTTTCTATTGGAAAATGGGGTGGTAAGACCCCGGCTTCCTGGTGAGATCAGCAAACTCCCCAAACATTTTCCTGCTTGAGAGCGCCGCAGTTATGAACCACGAAGTTCCCTTTGCTCGTTTCCTCCGCAGGGAAGGGGATTCTGGGGGAGTTGGTAAGTGAACCAAGCGTTGGGCATAACTCAGGTGCATGTGTTTTGCTTCCCTTTAGGTAGTGTGCCGAGCCTGGCCGCTGGGCTCCTCTTCGGGGGCTTAGCAGGCCTGGGTGCTTACCAGCTGTCTCAGGACCCCAGGAACGTTTGGGTTTTCCTCGGTACGTGCTTCGTGTCCCCGTAAAGCAGTTCTGGAACTGTTATCTGCCCCACCAGAAGGCCCCGGTCTGCTGGGATGTGGCTACCTTGTAACCTGGAACAGTTCTTACTGCTTCTGCTCCAGGGAACTTGCACATGGGAATTGGTCTGGTTTCTGCGGGTCTCTTATGTGTAGAATGTGGAAGGGTTTTCGTACCTTGTGAGATTGGTTGGGACTAGTCCTAGTTTGTCTGCTTGTACCAAGTAAGCGGGTATCAGTTGACCACTGGCCTTGTGCAGTACAGACAGCTGTGAGCTTTGCATTCGGATTGCATTCTCCCCTTGGGAAATCCCTTGCCTCTTTAGCAGCTATTTGTAGAAGACAGAGGCTTTGCACCGCTGGGGAACTTTCAGCTGAGCTGGGGAGTCAGACGTGACGTGAGACAGGACTGGGGACTGTGGGAAAGTGGACGGGAAGATTGCTGCTTACCCGGGTGGCTTTTGCCGCCAGGAGTGTAGGTGCCTCCGTGCCTCCTCGCACCCACAGGGTGAGAACAGGTGCAGCTCTGGCCCTTGGGAGCAGGAGGGGACCCTTGTGGCCCAGCCCACAGAGGGAGGGGAAGAGAGGCCAGCAATGGCGGCCGGAAGTCGGGCCCAGCTCCTGGCTCTGCCTAGCAGCTTCCCTTTCGCACAGGGAGTGAGGTTCAGGCCCTCTTCCCTGCGTCCCTCCCCTCCGCCACTCTCAGCGGATGACCTCGTGCTGACCTTCCTGAAGCACCAGCAGGCCCAGGCAGGGACGGGTCGCACCCTCCAATCCCTTCCCTGTGCTGTGTCCTTCCTGTCCCAGCGCTCCCTCTGCCTGGGCTTTGCTCTGTTCTCCCCGACCTGCTCGGGGCTTTGCACTGTCAAGGGTCCTGTTTGCTATTTGTGCTCTTCTGGGGGGGGGGGTCCTTCCCAGCGATGCTCCTGTGTTCATTTCTCACCCAGAAAAAGAACCACTTCCTCCTTGAGTTCTGTGCCTTTTCCTTCCATTGCAGACACTTCTCTAAAAACCTACCCGCCTCCTGCGTCCTCCTTCCTCCCCTCCCGCACGTCCCTGTACTCTGCCCCCTTCGTCCACAGGAATGCCACTCCCTGAGGCTGCCGGGACCTGTGTTTGTACAAAATCAGAGTACGGGTTTTAACCCGTGTTTGACATGGTTTGTAGGCTGTTCTCAGCACAGCTCACCGATCATTCCTGGTTTTCCTTTTTGTCTTGTCACTATTTATTTTATAACCCGTCTTCTCCTCTTTCAAGTAAATACTGAACTTAGGACCTGGCTCTCTATCTCCTTTACACTCTGACACTTGGCAGTGTTATTGAAGGTCATTCCTTAAATTATCTCCAGTATACAAGCGATTCACAAACGCCTGTCTCCTCTGGCATGAAGTGTCATCTTTCAGTGTCTCAGGGCCTCTGCAGAGACCTGACCAGAGATCCCACACACGTAGCTTCTCCCGTCCATGTCTGTGTCACTCTGGCTTTTAGTTCCTTGAATGTGTGTTCCTCTCACCACAGGGCCTTTGTATGAACTGTTTTCTCTGCTTAGAAGGTGCTTCTCCCCTCCTGCTTCAGCTCACTGGCTTCTCTAATTTTTGATAGTGAGTCTGTCTTTACTTCTTCAGCTAACCCTTGGATGATCTCCTGAGTAGATAGAACACCCACCTGTAGCACAGAGTACACTTTTTAAAGACGTGTTTACCCTATCAGACTTGAAACACTATAAAGGCTGGAGGCAGTTTTTGAGTATGGCTGTGGTGTAGCTAACAGGAAAAGCATGTCAGGGGAGAAGCAATATTATCTGTAAGACACGAAAAGAATCCTATAGCATTCTGGGGAAACTAAGACGTTGATGGTGAACTGTGGGTTTGCAGACGCGTGGTGAGAGAGGAAGCCAAGGCAGGCTGGGCCCAGGTTGGGAGGGACCGTATCCCGCCAGTGTGTGTGCCTGGACTCTAGGACGTGGACAGCCAGGAAGCTCCCTGCATGAGGAAGAGGGAGTCTGGGCCTTGAAAGCGCAGTGGGGCTCTCCCACTTCTGGTCCCCTTGCATATGAGAGGTAGTGATTATTTCTCTTTTTGTCAGGTACATCCGGGACCTTGGCTGGCATTATGGGAATGAGATTCTACCGCACTGGGAAGTTTATGCCTGCAGGTTTAATTGCAGGTGCCAGGTACTCTGGATTCTGTTGTTCTTATTTACCAGGATAGAGTTTGGTTTCTTTTGCAAGATACTTGATACATTAAAAAATGTGCAGGGCTTGTATCAGCATACCTGATCCTAGACATCAACTCAGATTACTTAGTTTATACACAAGTCGGAAAAGCCACAAAAACAGGAGTTGATTTATTGTCAAAAACGGCTTGACTCTTTATTCACTGGGGAAATGGTTTTGTTCTCAGATTTTGTCTCTGGTGGATCCTGCCTTCTTCCCACAGTGGAACAAGCCTCAGGGCAAAGCTCTGACCATATTTCTTAGTTGTACAGAACTTTGTTACTCAGAATTTTGCTAGAAGGGAATTTTGATTGAATCTTGTTTTCTAGTCACCTTTGATTATAAAACCCAAAGCTAATTGTTTCCAATTTCATCATTCAGAAATATAACTCAGGACATGCCAAGGGTAGGGAAATTTTAAAAACTCTGTTTCAGGAAAAGAGTATATACCCATCTTTGGTCATACTTATGTTATTGATCATAATCTTTTATACCAAGATCAATAGCAGCAAAGTGGGCTGGGTGTGGTAGTACATGCCTATAATCCCAGCTGTAATCAGCTGGCACAGGAAGATTACGAGTTGGAGCCCAGCCTGGAAAATTTAGCAAGACTGTGTCTCAAAAAAAAATGGCTGAGTGTATAGCCCAGTGTGAAGAACCTGGGTTCAATCCTGAGTACCATTAAAAAAAAAAAAAAAAGTAGTCAAAAGCTGTGGGGCTCTGTGAGAGCGCCCCTGGGTTCAATCTACAGTACCACAAAATTAAAAAGTTAAAAAATACAAAGAATAAACTAGAAGGCTAGAGATCTACCGTTAATTAACTGTATGACCTGAAAGGCATCAACCTCTCTTGCCTTAGCTTCGTTCCCTCAAGTCATTGGCAGTTGGATTAGGAAGGCCCAAACGCCTTGGCCTGTCTTTCTTTGGTGCTTCCAGGGAAATTCTGTATTTCTGAGTGCTCTGTCCCGGTACCTCCCTTCCATGCAGGTGTGAGGGACCTGCAGGGTCCCTTTAAAAAAAAAAAAGGTCCCTGGCTCTGTCCTTTTCCTGATGGCTTCTGTCTGTGTTTCTTTTGAACAGTTTGCTGATGGTTGTTAAAGTTGGAATTAATGTGTTGAGCCGACCACCACGCTCATAGTCGGCACATCCCAGCCTGAGCTCATGAAGAGCTAACAATCTCCGGACTTCCGCTTGTTACGCGTGTTAAAGAAATGCAGGACGTTTACACACTTTCTCATTTTACTCAAAACAAAGAACTCTGAACTTGGAGAAAAACATTCGTCCTTGGCATCCCAACCCTTCAGAGGTGGTGAGTGTATAAGCAAAGAGCTTAATGATGCCTTTACGTGATTGGTTCTTCTATGGTGATGTTATCTCTTCTCTCTGTATCAGTAGTTAAAAATCACAGGCAGTAAAATGTTGGGAGTCAATATTGGGGCCCCCAAAGCCTCATGCCCTACTCCAAAGAACAGTATGAAGAAGCTCTCTTGGTGAGATTTGGGATCTGTGTTCTTTTGCTTCTCTTAGAGCACAGACCTCTTTTGGGATTATGTTAAATGGAATAATGAAAATAAAATTCACTATAAATGACATATTCTTTGGTGTCTTCTTTGCCAGAGATGTCTGGAACACAGAGTGAGATGTGGACAGCAGGGCAAAGTGGTCATGCGGAAGTATTTCGTTAATGTTACGTTCAGGAGTTACCTATTTCAAAGGACAAAGAAAGGTTATTATTTTATTAGATGTTTCCTGGGAGCTTATTTTAAAAATGATCTTGAAGGTTTCTAAGGACTGTGTAGCAAAAAAAAAAAGAAGTGTTTTGTTGACTTTACTAGTTCATCTCTGAATGTGAAACCAAGTTCAGTGTGGTGGTGCCTGCCAGGATCCCAAGTTCAAGTTCAGTCCCAGCCTGGGCAACTTAGGGACTTAGTGAGACCCTGACTCAAAGTATAAATAAAAAAGGCCGGGGATGTAGCTCAGTGTGAAAGCCCTGGGTACAATCGCTAGTATTAAAAAATAAAAAACCTTGTCCAGGGTTTGAATTACTATGATCTCTACATTGGTCACAGCGGCTGGACACTGGCACATTTCATTTCACTTTATTAGCTTCTTTGCAGGGAGGCACAATATCCAACACCCACCACTTAAAGGAGAAGTTTAATCTGCTCAGGGTGTCAGTCCATGATCCGCTGGCTGCAGAGCAGAGGCTTCGTGGCAGAAGGACATGGTGCAGCAAATCTGCATAGTTCGTGGTGGCCGAAGCAGAACAGGGAAAGAGGGTGACGGCAGAAGGGGCAAAGCACAGAGCTACGGCCACGCCTCCGTGACCCACCCAGATGCACCTGTACGAGTGCTCCACCAGTTCCTGGGATACATCCCAAAGCCAGTCAGGTTGAAATTCCACCCACTCATACCTACATTTTCCCCTCAAAAATGTTTTTTCTGTGATCATAAGATGTATTTGGTATGAGATGATTTTCATAAAAAGGCTCTACAGTTTGTTGTATATAAGGCATTTGCAGTGATGCACTATACCTAGTAGTGGGCGTTCCATAAATATTTGCTGAGTGGTCTGATCCAGTCGTTGCTTGCTTGCTTGTTTTTTTTTTGAGACAGTGTCTTGCTTAGTTGCCCAAGCTGGGCGTTGTCCGCCTGCCTCAGCCTTCCAGAGTGCTGGATTCACAGGTGTGTCTTGCCAGGCCCAGCTGTTACTGAGTTTTTAAGTGCATAAATGTTATTGTGAATGTTACGGGTGTGAAGGGAGAATGCGAGCACTTTCCTCACTGGTTGCAGTTGTATGTGCTATTCACACTGGCTCTTCTTTATTTACTGTGTTCAGCAAACAAAGTGTTACATATTTGTTCATATACAGTATTCATGTATTTATTTTAGAAGTCTAGATCTATTTCCAGAAAATCCATTTTGATTATGGTCATATATTGTTTCTTTATTTATGATACAGCCTTATATATTTGGTTTTGTGTGTGTGTGTGTGTGTGTGTGTGTGTGTGTGTGTGTGTTTTAACATTTTATCCTGGAAACCTTTTGTCTTTTTGAGACAGGGTCTCGCTATGCAGTTCAGGCTGGCCTTGAACTCACTTTGTAGCCCAGGCTGGTCTCAAACTTACAGAGATCCTCCTGCCTCAGCCTCCTGAGGGCTAGGATCACAGGTGTGCGCCACCACACCTGGCTGAAAGTTCTGATTTACTGAAAGCCACGATAATTTTCATGAGCTCACATACATCCTTCATGTGGTTTCATCAGTTCACTAGTGAACATTAGGCACATACTCTGTATACAGAAGACGTGAATGAAAAACGTACAATAGAACGTCAGAAAACCAAGTCTCACAGTGTGTCCATTGTATATACCACGACTAAGTGCAATTTGTGGCAGTATGTAAGGCTTGTGTAACATTTGAAGTAAGTTTGTATAATCTAACACATCAGCAGACTAGAGAAAAATCCCATCATCCCATCAGTACATGCAGAAAAATGATTTGACAGAATTTCACCCCTATTCATAACAAAAGCTCCCAGCAAACTGGGAGTAGGAGGACCCCTCACTAGGACAAAGCCCTTCAGCTAACATCATACTTAAAGGGAAGAGATGGTGTATTTCCTAACACCAGGGCCATGGCAAGGCTTTCATCTCACCAGCGCTAGTTAACGCTGTACTGGAGTCCTAACTAATGCCTCGAGACAAGGAAAGGAAGCCAGGGAAAGGAAGCCGGGTGTGGTGGCAGGTGCTTGTAATCCCAGGTGCTTGTGAGGCCGAGGCAGAAGGATCCACAGCTTCAGACCAGGTTGGGCACTGTAACAGAATTTTTTAAAAATGCTCCGGATAAGCTCAGTGGTAGAGTGCTTGCCAAGCATATGCACAGCCCTAGGTTCAATCCCCAGCACTGCAATAAATGAATGATGTACTGATGAAGAAGTAAAAGTTTTCACTTGTAGATGATTTGATCATCTACAAACACAGAACTTACCAAAGAACCAAGAAACTGCTGGAAGTAATAGATGACTATAGCAATTATTAAAATATAAAATGAAGCTGGGCATGGTGGCACTCACCTGTAATCCCAGCATCTGGGAGGCTGAGGCAGGAGGACCTCTGTGAGTTCAAGGCCAGCCTGGGCTACCTAGTGAGTTGAACTGCATTGTGAGATCCTGTCTACCAATGAACCAGTGAAATAGGAAATTACAAATGCAATATCATTTACATTAGTACAAATGTTCCTACCCCCAAAACCCAATACCTAGGTATAAATCACTAGTACTAAAAAATAAACTAGGTATAAATAAACAAAATGTATAAAAGGTCTATATGAAGAAAACTGTAAAACTGATGAAAACCATCAAAGAAGACCTAAATCAATGCAGAAAAATTCTTTGTATGGGGTAGGAAGTTCTCCCAAACATCATCAAGCTTCAGCACAAATCCAATCAACCCCACAGAGTAAATTACGGTCTGGATATTGACAAGCTGATTTTTTTTTTCTGTAATAGGCATGGAACCCAGGGCACTCTGCCACTGAGCTATATTCCTAGCTGTATCAGTCAGGTTTTTACTAGAGAAACAGATATAACACAAGATGTACAAACATGTAAGGAATTACAAGATTGGCTTACGACGGTCAGCCAGAGTTGTATGAGGAAGCGTGCAGAGGATGTCTGCACACTGAAGACCAAAGGAATCAGTCCAGGGTCTGGAGTTTACTGCAGTGTTAGGCACAAGTCCGTACAAGGAGGCTGATGAGTCTGTGACCGGAAGGCTGAAGGATCCAAGGCGGGAGCTGAAGAGTCTGCACTAGAAGCCAGGAGACGATGTCCAGCTGAAGGTGAAGACTGGAGCTCCTCCAAAAGGAATGGAAGTTCCTCTGTCCTTCCTCATTTCCCTTTTATATCATCTAGGTGATGAGCCACCCTAGGGTGGGTCCTCTGCACCCTAGGGTGTAGAATTGCTGAGCCAATTGCTGAGCCAAGTTTAGTTAAGCTTCTGACCTTCTCAAATTGACATAATCAATCAACCACTACACTAGCCCTTCTATTTTTTGATACAGAGCCTTGCTAAGTTGTTAAATTGCCCAGCCTGGGTTTGAACCCATGATCCTCCTGCCTCAGCCTCCCAGAGGGCTGGGATTACAGGCATGTACCACCACACCCAGCTTGATAAACTGACTCCCGAGTTTATATGGTGGGATGAAAAACCTGTGATAGCCCATACTATACTGATGGAGAGAAACAGCTGAAGGGCTGACGTAAGCTACAACAATCAAGATAGTGTAGTATTACTGAGTGAACAGACTAGACCAGGAGAACAGAATAAAGAGCTCAGAAATAGAGCCGCATAAATAGTCAGCTGATCTCTGCCCAAGGAGCAAGCCAGTTCAGTGGAGAAAGGACAGTCTCTTCAGTAAATGGTGCTGGAACAATGGACATGGTGACACAGGGAAAAGTAATGTGACCTTGGGTAGGCTGAAGATGTTTTAGATAGAACATCAGAAGTCCTATCCCTGAAAGAAAAATATTAAGTTGAAATTCATTCAAATTAAAAATTCTGCTCTGCAAAACACAGTCAAGAGAATAAAAACCAGACACAGACCTTAGAGAAAATAGCTTTAAAACAATCTATCTGACAAATGGCTGTGACCCAAAAAGTAGAGTGGTTAAAGCTCAACAGATAGAAAACAACCAACCCAGTTTAAAAATGGGCAAAAGGTTGGAACAGGCGGTTAACCCAAGACATGGCCAGTAAGCACATGCGGAGATGCCCCGCAGCCGTCATTAGGGAACTGTAAGAAAAACCAACAGCCGGGAGGCCACACACCCAGCAGAATGGCCCCGCCCAACGCTGCAAGGGTGCCGAGCAACAGCAACTGTCATTCACCGCTTGTGGTGGGAGGAGCCCGAATGTACAGCCACGCCCAGGACAGCTTGGCAGTCCTTACAGAACCAAATACTTTTACCATACAATCCAGCCGTCCTGCTCCTTAGTAGTTCCCCAAGCAAGCTGAAAACGGTGTGCACACAGAAACATGCACATAAACGTCCATAGCAGCTTTATTCAAATGCCCCAATTTGGAAGCAAACCAAGAGGTCCTTCCGTAGATGAGTGGGGAACACCGCACACTGAAATGTTATTCAGTGTTAAAAGTGAGCTTACAAGCTAAGAAAGACACGGACGAGCTGTCAGTGCGTATCGCGGAGTGAGAGAAACCACTGTATGATTCCAACCACACAAAATTCTGGAAATAGGGTCGTTATTAGGGACAATAAATAGATCGGTGGTTGCCAGAGGTTTGGGGGAAGGCAGGACCCGACAGAGCACAGCGGATTTCCAGTGCAGTGAAAGCATCTCACATGATATTGTAACGCTGGACTGGTATAACGGAAGTCATGGTAACGTTGTGCTGATACTGGTGGTCAGTGTGATAAATGTACCCTGGTAAGGCAAGATGTTGACAGGGAAAATCAAGGTGGGGATGAGGGGTTCTACATGAAACTCTAACTTCCTTTCCCTTCCTTTCCCTTCCTTTCC